GGCGCAGCCAATAGCGCCAGCCTGTCGGCGTGCTGCCGGAAGCCAGCCAATGGAAGGGTAAATCAATCATTTGAAACAGCCAATGGACAAAGCACCGCAACGCGAGACGGAGGAGTATCTTGATAGGGACGTCGGAAGCTACTACCGACCAATAAAGAACGAACTGCGTCTGGAAGGTGGGCCTTAGGCGACCGGATTGATGGGAACGAAGCCAATCGAAAGAAGCCTCCTGCCGGCCTCGTTCTGGCTGCCCAATCTGGGGGCGGGACCGACGGCTATATAAGCATTGGCGGAGCGTCGGTTGTAGGACTCTGCGCGCTCGCTCGCTGTTGTGTCAGTCCTGCCACCTGCGCCGCCGCCGCCGCCGCCGCCGCTTTCGCCATGAGGGAGATCGTGCACTTGCAGGCCGGGCAGTGCGGCAACCAGATTGGCGCCAAGGTGGGCGGCCAGGACCGAGGGCTGGTGCGGGCTTGCGGGGCGGCTGGGGAAGATGGCGGCAGTGGGCAACCGGGCGGCGCCCCTGCATTGCGGCCCCAGAGCGCCCTGCGCGGGGCCAGGCCAGGTTGGGCGGGCCGAGACCCCAAGGACTGGGAGCGCCCTGGGCTGGCGGGGGCGGCCGGGCCGGGCCTAGCCTAGCCTAGCCGCCGCGCCTGTCCAGGGCGGGGCCGCCTCACTGCGCACCGGCTGCGGTGACTCAGCCCTCGTCCTCCTGGCCCGCCCGCGTCTCTTGCAGTTCTGGGAGGTGATCAGCGACGAGCATGGCATCGACCCCACCGGCACTTACCACGGGGACAGCGACTTGCAGCTGGAGCGTATCAACGTGTACTACAACGAGGCCACCGGTGAGACCCGGCCCCTCCTCGTACTCCCTCCCCGCACTCCCAGTGGTCCCCTGCCAGCTCTGACGCCCTCCTGTTCTGCCCCCAGGTGGCAAGTACGTGCCCCGCGCTGTGCTCGTGGATCTGGAACCCGGCACCATGGACTCCGTGCGCTCTGGGCCCTTTGGGCAGATCTTCAGACCTGACAACTTCGTTTTTGGTGAGTTTGTGGGGGCTGGGGGGTAGGAAGGTCAAGGGGCTGCCCCAAGGTTGCTGCAAAGCTAGAGGGGCTATACCTTTCCCTCCCCTTCCAGGCACTCAATCCTCTCAAAGCGGCTTTCGGAGGAAGGCCCGGCTGTCTGCCCTGGCAGGGAGTGGGGAGATGTAATCTCTGCAGCTACCACTGAGCTGCAGCCTGGGGTTGCTCCTCCGCCCTTGAGAGTTGGCAGGGCTGCCTGGGGAGGCCTGTCCAGCTGCCTCTGCTGCAGCTTCTGCTTTGTCTGCATGGCAGGCTGCTTTCATGGCACCCGGAGGGTCTTTCCGTAGCCCTAGGGTGAACTGCGTGTCACTTCACACCTGTTCCCTGGCCTTTGGGCACGGGCAGCAGTGACTGGTGTTGAGCACATACCCAGCTAACGTGACCAGCTGTCCCGTGACAGGTCAGAGTGGTGCTGGGAACAACTGGGCCAAGGGGCACTACACAGAAGGTGCAGAGCTGGTGGACTCGGTGCTGGACGTCGTGAGGAAGGAGGCTGAGAGCTGCGACTGCCTGCAGGGCTTCCAGCTGACCCACTCGCTGGGCGGGGGGACCGGGTCTGGGATGGGCACCCTGCTCATCAGCAAGATCCGGGAGGAGTACCCCGACCGCATCATGAACACCTTCAGCGTGGTGCCCTCGCCCAAGGTGTCGGACACGCGAGGGCCTGTTACACCTCTTCTTCCGCACCCGGGAGCTGGCCACGCCCACCTACGGGGACCTCAACCACCTGGTGTCGGCCACCATGAGCGGCGTCACCACCTGCCTGCGCTTCCCGGGCCAGCTCAACGCCGACCTGCGCAAGCTGGCCGTGAACATGGTGCCCTTCCCGCGCCTGCACTTCTTCATGCCCGGCTTCGCGCCCTTGACCAGCCGGGGCAGCCAGCAGTACCGCGCGCTCACGGTGCCCGAGCTCACCCAGCAGATGTTTGATGCCAAGAACATGATGGCCGCCTGCGACCCCCGCCATGGCCGCTACCTGACAGTGGCCGCCGTGTTCAGGGGCCGCATGTCCATGAAGGAGGTGGACGAGCAGATGCTCAACGTGCAGAACAAGAACAGCAGCTACTTCGTGGAGTGGATCCCCAACAACGTGAAGACAGCTGTCTGTGACATCCCCCCCCGTGGGCTAAAAATGTCCGCCACCTTCATTGGCAACAGCACGGCCATCCAGGAGCTGTTCAAGCGCATCTCGGAGCAGTTCACGGCCATGTTCCGGCGCAAGGCCTTCCTGCACTGGTACACGGGCGAGGGCATGGACGAGATGGAGTTCACCGAGGCCGAGAGCAACATGAACGACCTGGTGTCCGAGTACCAGCAGTACCAGGACGCCACAGCCGAGGAGGAGGGCGAGTTCGAGGAGGAGGCTGAGGAGGAGGTGGCGTAGGCTGCGTGCTCGCGGGAAAAGCGCGGAGCGGGGTGAACTCTTTATTCGCTCACGGCCTGTCTCCTGGTAGTCACGTCTCTGTGTACCTGCTGCCCTCGTCTCGACCTCATGCTGTACAGACGCCTCCATTAAAGCATTTTCATAGTGTGTGGTTTCGCCTCTGCAGTTCCTTCTGATAGGCCTTCCGGCTGCTGTTGCCAAACGTGTGTGCGTAGGTGTCCCGCATGGCTGCAAAGGAGTAAGCTTTGTGGCTGCAAGGGGTCAGTGTGGGCTGCCCGAGGCTTTGGGCATCTGCCTGTGGGGACCTGCTTCTTGGGGCAGGCCTGGGCTTCTCAGGAGCCAGGTCTGCAGAGGGCCTGTTGCCCAGACTTCAGTGGGAGGGGCTGAGCCTGGAGGAGGGGCTATAGTGGGCGGGCCTACTCCCCTGGAGCTTGCAGAGGATTTGACAGCTGGTAGGAAATGGGTAAGTAGTATAGACCAAGGTCTGTCAGTGTGACCCCGGCCAGTGGGCCTGAGGTGGCTGGGGGGACTCACATGGAATGAACCCCATGTAGAAAGGTATCAAGCCATGGCTGCTGTAGATGATGTTGCTGGGCCAGTGTGTCCTGGGCAGCTTCTCACCCAGTGGGCAGACTGGGTTCCTGAACAGGAACTGGGGAAACAGGCTGAGTGCTGCCTCCCCTCACCCACAAGCAGTGCGCAGGGCGTGAGCCACGTGGGCGGGAGGGCCAGCTGGAGCTCCTGGGTCTCCTGGCTCTGCCCCCAGACCTTGTTGGGACCAGAGGGTTGGGGGCAGGCCTGTGGGCCAGGCAGAGCTGCACCAGAGAAGCGGCCAGGTGGGCCAGGTGCCCAGCCCCGCCCCGGCGGTGTGCCTACCTGGTTCCTGTCGAACTCATCCATTGCCTGTGTTACTCCGTCACGGTAATTCATGCCCATCACCCAGGCAAACCTGGGGACGAAGCCAGCGTAGCCTGGAGGCAGGCAGATGAAGGTTAGGGTCCCATCTCATCCCAGGCCCCCAGTCCTGGTCGCACTGCCTGCCCCCTGAGTTAGGGTTTCTTTCCTGCCCTAAACGGCAGCCACTGCCTCTACCAAAGGAGCAGGCAGGTGTCTGGTGAGACTGCTCCCGGCAGGCACAGGGCCCTGGGGCTACCCTTCAGACCAGGCCAGCCCAGCACAGCCAGTCACCTGAGATGGCCTTGCGCTGGATCAGGTTGGGGTGGTCCAGCTGGGGCAGCCGCTGGGACCTGCCCACGTCCAGCATCTCCTGCTGATGGGGTGCTGGCCAGTACTCATCCCTCCTGCAGTGGTATAGCTGGAATGGGGAGGGGCGGGTCACCAAGGCCCCTCTCTCCTGGCCTGGGTGGGGGTGAGGCTAGGCTACCTGGTACTGCCCGGGGGCCTCTCCAAGTGCCACGTCTCTGGAGCACTGCTTCTTGCCTGGTGGGCATGGCGGGTAGGGGGGGTAGGGCATGACACCTGCAGGCAGAGGGACCTGTCTGGATATGTTTTCTACCCCTGGCGGCTCCTGGGTGTTCACGTCTGGTGGAAGCCGGCCCAGGATCTCAAAGTTCTTGTAGGGTTTCAGACCTGCACAGACAGGGCATCCTTGAGCTTGGGCAACAGGAGGGCGGGTGGGCAGCGGGCTGGGGCTGGCGGCTCACCGGTGTAGTGGGGAATGTAGGGTATAGTCAGGTCCCGGCAGGAAGCCAACGGGGGCTTGGGCCGACTGAAGTCCTCGATGAACTTGGGCTTGGACATAGGGGAGAGCACTGAGCAGGGGCTCTTCTGCACGCTGGGGTCTGTGAGCAGCTGTGCTGTGGTGCGCCCGTAGGTGCTCCCCACCTGGTACCGCAGTTGTGGGTAGAAGCCCGCATAGCTGCAGAGGGACAGGGTGGAGCGGGATGCAGAAACAGCCTGCCTGCCACGCAGCTCCTGCTCGCCGGCCCTAGGCACCCACCTTCCAGGCCTCCCTCAGGGCGTGATGGACGGAGGACATGCCCAGCCCAGGCTGTGGGCTTCTTGGCCGCCACCACCTGCAGTGTCACCCACCCTGTCCTATCCTCGTCCCTTGAGCCCTCACGTGGATAGGTGGGAGCAGACATGCCACCTCAGGACCAGCAGCCTGGGACCTGCAGTGGATGAACCGAGGGGTGAAGGGGGGCAGTGCTGCAGCTCTGTGTGGGGATGCTCAGTGACCCAGTGCTGCAAGACCTGGGTGTGTGGCCACCCAGGGTGCCAGCTGTCTTGTGGACACTGCCAGGGTAGGGTGTGTGACTCGCTGGTCTAAAAGGTGAGTGAGGTGCCAGCAGGCGGTGCAGTGGCTACGTCTCTGGACTCCCACGTGTCTGACTGCGTTGTGAGTCCCAGACCTGGCAGCTGGAAACTCAAGCCGGGAGTGCACGTGTGCGTGGCCCAAAATCTCAGGAGGGGCTGCAGTGTGGCCATCCCCCTGAGGGATGATTTCTCACTTTCTCTCTCCATCTCTGTCTGTCTCTCTGGCGAGTACACATACCCTATAACAAAAACCTCTCAAAAACAAACTAACCATGTGAGTGAGGCCGAATCCAATTCCTGGACACCTACCTCCCTTTCCTAACAGAGGCCACGGAGCAGGTGGACTGGCCGTCCCTGGCTATGCCTCCCTCACACTGGGCATGCGTGTGGGCGTGTGCACATGTACTCGACCAGGACACCCAGTCTCGCAGAGTGCCCTGCAGAGCAGGCCTGGGCCGCCTCTGCCAACCGCAGGCTGCCCAGTTCCTGCTCTTGAGAGACATGAAGGCCAGCTGATGTGAGCAGTGGCCAGGCCCACGAGGGGAAATCCCTGTCCCACACTCCCTGTGCCAGGGCTCTGGGCCCGTCTCCACCTCCAGCTCCATCGTTCCTGGTCAGGCGTGCCCCACACCTGGGGCCCAGCTTCCTGAGGCCAGCTCCAGAGCCCCTCACAGCTGATGCCCCAGCCCTGGGCCCAGCTTCCTTCCAGAGCTCCTGCTTCCTACCCGGGGATGTAGTGAGGTTCCGGTGTGAAGAGGCTGTGCTTCTGTGTCGCTGTCATCCTGCCTCAAGTCCCTGCCTGTGCTGGTCACAGGCCTTCCCTCCTCTGGCTGGCTCCCTGCCCTGAGGAGTCCTGTTGCCTGGCAACCATTGTGAAGAGATCCAGCACTGCTGAGCACCACCCAGGCCAGGTCCCCGCCCCTCCCGTACCCTGCAGCACCGCAGCGCGCAGGTGGGCACTGCGGCCTTGGGAGCGAAGGCTGCGAGTACCATGGTGAGGCCGGCCTGGGGAAGGTTCCACCTGACACAGAGCTCAGAGACCTGACCGTCCTGCTGGGAAAGGCCTGGACCACTGCGACCCCAGGAGGCCAGTGGCCACCTGCAACCCCCTGCGCCAAGAGCAGTCAGCAGTCCTTGAGACAGAGAGCCTGGCCTGCAGCAGGCCTCCTACCCACCCAGGGGGGCATGCTTCCCACTGTACACAAATCCTGCTGCGTTTTTCCTTTTGGTACAGGAAGGAGTTCTTTCTTTTTCTTTGGGGGGGGGTTTCGCTATAGGGCACATGCACTCACCAGAAAGAGAGCGACAGAGACAGAAAGCGGGAAACCACCCCCAGGGGGATGGCCACGCCGCAATCCCTTCTCCCCCATTCTCCTCTTGGGATCTTGGGCACGCTCATGCACACGTGCCCAGCGTGAGTTCAGGCTACCAGGTCCAGGACTAGAACTGCGGTTGACTACATGGGAGTCCAGTGACATAGCCATTACGCCAACTGCTGGTCCTAAGAAGGAGTTTCTGACTGTAAAAATGAAGGAAGATAGCATAAAGGAAAGGAGCAGCTGGTCTGACTCCACGTCAGATAACACGCACTAGGAGACAGGCGTGGCCTGGTAACTGCAGGTGCACATTGGCATGGAAAGCTGACAAAAGCACACGGAATTACCACTCGGCAGAGAAACGCATACACGGGGCCAGCAGGTGGCGTGGAGGTTAAGGCGCTGGACTCCCACAGGGCTGACTACAGTTTGAGTCCCAGACCTGGTGACTTGAAAATTATAGCAGGTGTGGGTGTGTGTGCCCAAAATCCCAGGGGGAGAATGGAGAAGGGACTGCAGTGTGACATCTCTCTTGGGGGGGATTGCTCACCTTCCCCGAGTACATGTGCACTATGGCAAAAACAATAAAAAGAAATGCATATATGGTGTGAGCATTTGGGACAAAGGCCCGAAGTCAGCAAGCTTGTGGACACCAGGCTGGCATGCCAAATGGATGCTGGCAACTGCAGTTTTAGTATTTTTTGAGACTTTTGCTATAGGATACATGCGCTCGCCAGAGAGACGGCAAGAAATCACCCCTGGGGGCACAGCCACACTGTAACCCCTCTTGGGATTTTGGGCATGCACACACACAGGCCCAGCGTGAGTTCTAAGCCACTAGGTCCAGGACTCAAGCCACGGTCGACTACAGCTGCGCCATCTACTGGTCCCAGCACTGGCAGGTTTTTTTTGTTTGTTTTTCCTTTTTTTTTTTTTTTTTGAGAGGTTTTCGCTACAGGGCGCGTGCGCTCGCCAGACAGACAGAGACATAGAGGCAGAAAGCGAGAAATCACCCCCCAGGGGGGATGGTCACGCCGCAATCTCTTCTCCTCCATTCTCCTCTTGGGATCTTGGGCACGCATGCGTGCCCGGCGTGAGTTTTAAGCCACCGGGTCCGGGATGCGAACCACAGTTGACTACGTGGGAATCCAGTGACATAACCATTAGGGTAACTGCTGGTTCCCTCAGTCGTGGCAGTTTCTAACACCCAGGGCTGGCTGGGCCACAGTAGCAATGGCCTCATCTGGGAGCAGTTCACTAACAGGTCAGGGCCACATGGGACACGGCACACCTGGACCCGTAGCTCCCACTTGGGCTTGGATCTGATGGGAGTGATGGTTGTCCAGCTGAAACCGCCACAGCGCCACCCATCTGTCGTGGTGGTGTTTATTACAGAAGGTGGTGGCAAAGGCTGTGTCCCACGGCAAAGGCCATGTCCCACGGCAAAGGCTGCCTTACAGCGAGGCACATGGCAGAGCCGCACCGCAGCCCGGGCAGTCGCGATGGGAGGAACATGGGACGGCATGGGCCAGGGCGGCTGTGAGCCCCAGCGCAAGTAGGAGACGTGTTTCCTGAAGCCTGTGTCCGTCGCCCCAAGTGCCAGTGCCAGTGCCCGGGGAGGAGGGGTGGCACAGAGGGAGCGACGCGCCGGGTCGGGTGGAGGACAGTGGCTGGTGCAGGCCTTCCTGACGGCCCTACGGGGCTGTGCGGGCCAAGGCCAGGGCTGGGGCCAGCAGGCTGCTCAGCTCAGGCCCCAGTGCCAGATGGGCCCTAGCCTGCTCAGGCTCACTGCTCCACGCAGCTCGTGCAGCCTGGTCCCGTGACCCCTGACCTGCTCTGGCCCTTGCCCCTAGGCCAAAGACAGGCCTCACTTGGCCTGCCCACTCAGACCCACTCCAAGCTGGGTTTCTGGCCAGGGCAGCAGCTGCAGCTACCTATGCTCCTTCTCCTCCTCGGAGCCCTCCTGGACCCTTCCTTCCTCTGGCTGGGCCCCCAGGGTATGGCAGGTGTTCTTGGGTCCTGCTCCCCTCAAGTCCTCTGCCAGGGGCTTAGTTTCCCTGGAACCCCTGAGAGAGTAGGCCTGGCGCCCCAGGAGCTCCCACCCCACCCTCTTGCAGGGAAGGGGAAAGGTTGGGACAAGGAAGTGGGGTAAGAGCACAGGGGGCTCGGCCAAGAGTAATGGCAGGCCAGGGAGCCAGGACCCCAGCAGGAGAACAGGGAGGGGCAGGGGTGGCCACCAGGGCAGCCCCTCCAGGGCTGGATGATGTCCCCTCCCTAGGGAACCCAGCAATAGAGGGGGCCCCACAGCCCACTGCTGAGGCCACAGAGTGCCAGTGAGGTCACAGGGCAGTGCCCCAGGGAGAGGCCCGAGCCTGCCGATGGATTTCGACCAGAAGGCTGTGAAGTTCTTGGCAAGCTTCTACATCAATGGAGGAAAACACTGGACTGATGGCCCCCTGAGGCAGACGCCGGAGCCCTCCCAGTAACTGCAGGGGTGTGGCGGGCAGCGGGTAGGGGTGGCCGGGCGTGATGTGCCTCTCTCCCCCTCAGGCTCCGGGCTGCTGTGCTGCTGCTGGGCCTGGATTTCGACCAGAAGGCTGTGAAGTTCTTGGCAAGCTTCTACATCAATGGAGGAAAACACTGGACTGATGGCCCCCTGAGGCAGACGCCGGAGCCCTCCCAGTAACTGCAGGGGTGTGGCGGGCAGCGGGTAGGGGTGGCCGGGCGTGATGTGCCTCTCTCCCCCTCAGGCTCCGGGCTGCTGTGCTGCTGCTGGGCCTGGGGCTGGCGGAGGCCTGGGCTGGGATGCGGCCTCCAGGGGAACAGGTGGGGCCTGCCTGCCGCAGGTCACGGGCACGGCAGGGCACCCCCCCCCCCGAGCCCCCGCCC